TCTATAAGTATATATTAAGATTATTAAAACTCTATTTAGTTATTAAATTAAATATCTAACTAAGATCTACTAAACTTCTAATAATCTAGAGGGTATATTATATAATAGTACTAAAATTATAGTAAAGATCTAATTACTTAACCCTATATTTATAATATATCTACTCTATATAAGAAATTAACCTATAAGTATATAATAAGAAGTTTAAAAGCTTATAGTTAAGAGTAATAGGAATTAAAAATAAATCTATAGTTATATATTTATTATATATAGTTAATTAAGTAAGTATTATTAGTATAAATAGTATAAAATCTAATAAACTTATTAATAAAGCTTAATAGATATTTTAAATATCTATAAAGTTCCTATCCTATAGTTTCTATACTCTATCTTAGTCCTAGCTTTATACTCCTCTGTAAAAACCCTGTAATTTGAGTGAGTTACCCTACAGCAGTAGCTGACCCTCTGTAACTGGATCTTACTCGCTGCACTGTGGGGACATCGCTCCTGCCGCCGGAGAAGTGGATCGCCGAGCTCCGTCTGCTGAACGGATGAGATGAAAGCGACACCTTCTCGAGATGTGATGCAAGATCATTTTTATTTTCTCCAAGAATTTACAAGAATTCGAGAAAGTAGGTAACGGCAGGACATACGATACAGCCTCTGATCCTTGACAGAAAGGGGAATTTGTGCTACTCCTGATTACAATTTGCATGATTACGCTGTTCACCGTCATCACGGCCTGGGCGGGGAAGCTCGTTGTCCGAATGTACCGCTAATGATTAATGGGACTTCGGCAGTAAGTGAACATGGGACTGAACTCAAATGTCATCATCGACCTGATCGACGGCCACCGAGAACGGCATACCGGTAAACCTTATCGCGCCGTGGCTAATAACTGGGGATTGAAGAAAGCTTCACGTTTGGGTATAAAGCGGCCTCAGCCATGCATACTTCGCATCCTCGCCGGCAATTGAGTTTCCCTCTCACCAAACCTCCCGACCAGCAACCATCACGTCCCAGTTCTAGTCGACGAAGACGAAAAAACATCATGTCCAAGATCCTCACTATTTTCGGCGCCACCGGTACACAAGGTGGCTCGGTCATTGACGCAGTTCTAGCCGACCCTGCTCTCTCCAAAGAATACACCATCCGCGGCGTCACTCGAGATGTCAACAAACCCGCTGCCAAAGCACTGGCTGATAAAGGAGTCCAAATGGTGTCTGTTAGTGGCTGCTCCTAAGGCCGTATTTAATTCTCCGATGTATAGTACTAATCTCATTAACTAGGCTGATATGAATTCAATCGAGACTGCCAAGCCCGCTGTTGAAGGGGCGCACACCGTCTTCTTCGTCACCAACTATTGGGAGAAGAGCTCCGCCGAGCTTGAAATCTCCCAGGGCAAAGCTGTGGCCGACGCCAGCAAGGCCGCTGCCGTCCAGCATCTCATCTTTTCCTCTCTCATCAACGTCACCGAGGCCAGCAAGGGGGCTCTCCCACATGTCCACCACTTTGATTCCAAGGCTGCCATTGAGCAGTATATTCGTGGCATCGGCATCCCAGCCACCTTCATCCAGCCTGGATTCTACATGTCCAACTACATCACCCAGTTCAAAAAGGGCGAAGATGGGAGCTACACGCATGCTATGCCAGTCGACGGGGAGAAAGCTCGGGTTCCAGTTTTCGACGCTGCCAGTGACACCGGTATGTGCGGTTCTAAAGAAACATCTGCCGAGAGCAACGTTAACAATTCTCTGTAGGACTTTTCGCCAAGGCTGCGATCAAAGATTCTGCCCCCTCTGGAAAAAGGATCTTGGCCGCCACTGAATACTTGACCCCGAATCAAGTTGTGGCCGACTTCACTACGGCCACCGGGAAGAAGGCTACGTATAAGCAGGTGTCGAACGACGTCTACAAGTCTTTTCTTCCTGCACCTATAGCGCAGGAAATGCTTGAGAACATGCTTCTGCTCCAAGACCCGGGATACTATGCGGGTGCAGACCTTTCCAGCAGCTTGGCTCTTCTCGACCGCAAGCCGACTAGCTGGAAGGAATTTGCGAAGGCAAACAAGGGTAAATGGGCATAGGAAGAATGGAAACAAAACGTGTAGGTAAACGTGAAAGGAAAAAGGGGGATCACAATGCATCGGGCATCACCTTTGCTATTAAGTTATATCATACCGAGTTTGTTGAAGCTGAGGTTAGTAAAATGAAGAGGCTTGTGAAGGCGTCAGCAGTTCCAAAGGGTTGTGAATCACGTTGAAGATTTGTTTACTTTCTCCTTAACTCGTGTGGCGTCGCTCCCGGGCTGTTCAAAGTGAGAGTTCTCAGCTCACCTGGGCAAACACCTGTGAAATACGGCTCACCTAGGTAGCCAGTCACTCGTGAGGCACTGACACGGCAACGGTTGTGGTGAACGCGTTCGCCAAGGTGGGGCAACAGCCGTTTCAGGAGGAGACTGTTGACTCCCTCCCAAGTATGTAGCTTCCCGCTCCTCCTTTCTCATCATTTTTTCTTCTTTTGCATCAACAACTTTTGCATCAACAACCACACTCGAACCAGCAGACGAGATGCCGGACACCATCTTCGCCTGCATCATCTGCGGCACGTTCGTGTACGAGGAGGACACAGTTCCTCAAGGTTATCCCGATGCTCAGCCATGGCTGAATAGATTTCGAGGAAGTATGAAAATCATGCGGCTCCTCCATCTCACGAAGAAGCTTCGAAACTGACAAAAATTTTCTTTAGTCTATCAAGACCGGGAAGGAATTCACCTGACCGGAGTCAGTCGTAACGATGAAAACCAACGACCGGAATATACAGCACCCAGGGACATTCATGCCAGATGGGAAGACCCAGAGTATGACCCTCAAAACGACAGCGTTAGGTTTGGCGCCATGACACAACGTTCTGTCAACGGTCGATATGGCTTCATCTTCCATGAATCCTGTTGGTCGCTTTTGGAAGAAACGTTTGCTCCAAACGAAGTTCCCCTTCAGCGACTGTTTGATGTGTGCTTGTCAATCCCAATTGCTTGGGATGTGATGGACTGGGACCATACTTACGGCGGTCTTCACCAACAACTTGACTTGACTTATTCATTCCCCTGGGAGCCGCGCGGGATGGTCCTCCGAAATGAAACTTACCTGGAAGTTCATGACCCATACCAATACTTCAATCTCACGGGCGAAGCAACAGAGCACCCTCCTCCAACAACTCTGGATGGACCGAGCCGACAGACACAGGACCCATTTCTGAAACTTCCGCTGGAAATCTTGTTGAAGGTTGCTGAAGAAATGGACACTTCCGACGTCCTCAGATTCAGACTGATCTCTAGATCTTTCTGGCCCATCTTTAACATGCAGTCATTCTGGCTTTCGCGGTTCAGAGCCGGCGCCGAAAGGTCTTGGGCCCAGACGGCACTTGGTCCCTATCAGCGCGATTAGCGATCGCTCTTTAAGAAGACCAATTATACCCGTCTGTCATTCGGACTCGAAAACCTAGAACGAATCATGGGAACCATCCACAACCTCGTTGATATCCTCCGTCTTGAACAGATGCCGATGACTCAACCTCCTCGCTCGATCACATCTCCTGAGCGTTATATCTGGGAAGAGATCTCAGGTCAGCTGGTTCCAACTAGAGCGGAAGCTGTAACCGCGAACAACAACCAAGCTGTCCCCTCCGAGATCATTGACTTCGGTTCCGGGTGTCGCGAAATGTACACTGCGTCGATGGATTACCCATCTCAAGCTTCGCATATTGCATTCTATTTTGTCAGTCTTGGAGGAGCCGCATACGCACCTCCACCAATGTTCCTATGCGGCATCGAGGTTTTCCACAGGAATCCAGATGATGGCCAGTTCTTGCTGGGCTACAGGTCGCCCATTCGCCGAATCCACATACTAGACCCGGAGAAAAGTGTGACGGGCTTCAACGTTACCGTGGGATCACGAGGGATCTCGAGCATCCAAATACAGTTCGTGGAAGGCTTCAAATCATGCTGGTATCAAGGCAACTCTGGAGACGAAAACCCGGAGAGTATGAGGGCAGTGGGCCCCGGCCGCATCTGTGGGATCAAAGCCTCCTTTGATGTGAGTAAAACTTGTTGTAGGAACGCAAACCATTGTCACGCCAACTAACACTATTTGTTTCTCAGGGTTTGAAGATCGTCAGCCTAGGTGTGGCAAAACTACAAGTCCCCGAGCCGGGTACGTCGCTGAAGGAGTCCGGCATTTGGTACCCCGAGATCCCGCGATTTCCAGTCTGCTTGAATGAGGAAATTCTCCCGAACCTAGCATTTTACTCCACAGGATATTTTCCGCTGTTCTGGGTACGCTTTGGGGGTGCTAGAGGCGAGTACCTCGAGTCACTGAAGAGCATTGACATTACCATTGTGGACGGTGTCTGGGGAATTGAATTCGCGTATTGCGACGGTCGAGCGCCGGAAAAGTTGGGACGACACCCCTACGACATTGATCTAGACCCGGAAATCCCCAACATCCTGACCATTGAAGTCGACGGCCCGCGTGGTGAGCGGATTTCCTCCATCTCGTTGTGGTACGATAGCGACACGTTTGCCCAAGGACAAATCAACAAGCCCTGCGGCATCGAGGTGAGTTTCTCTTCTCTTCTGTTTTTTGTGTGGACCAATACTTACCAAGTCAGATACATACGAACTGGGGCAACTCTCGACTCTGTGGCGATGGTGGGACCGTGGTGGGATACTTGAAGAAGGACCTTGAGCCTGAAGAGGGAACTGTCATCACGGGATTTTACGCCAACCAGGTAAGGGGTGCCTTTGTTCTGGTAAATTCGGGCGCAAATACTGACCTGGATTGCAGCTGCCCACCGCTGGATTCACGACAATTGGACTTATGTCGGAAAGGGTCGAATTCGAATTGGGACCGTGCAGTCTTGCGTCACTGCGACTTGATTGTTGAGCAAGGCGCTGCAGAATAGGAGATGTGTGCTTGAGAATTCATGCAAGTTGCTAAAATTGGTACGAAGGGAGTAGACTTTGAGTTATGTGGTGGTGAAGAGACACAAAAAAAAAGGAGCAGACGAAAGAGAGAACAAGGAAGAGACAAAGCTGGACGTTCCTGCTACATCGGACGGGGTGGGTCCTCGCCAAGGCATAGAGACGCCTCCCATGGAACTTGTTCAGCTGAGATTGAGAAGACGGTAATTCTAAGTAGTTAAAATAGAACTTGTATTCTGATGAATTAAGAATTTTACGATTTGTAGGCCAATTTTGCTGATAATCTTGTGGAGTGGATGTGACAATTCTCAGCCAGTCTCGCGAACCTCTTGCTTCTTGGCGGTCGTGTCACGATAGCGTCCCAGTTAGACAAGTGAGCATCGTTTTGTTGAAGAAAAATGTAAGAGGATCTGTAGCAATTATTCTCCTCGCTTGATATATCCAGGTGGCTTGCGAGGCGACTTGGCATCACCAACCGTAGCCAGACTTCCAAGTCGCCCAGTAGCTTCCAAGTCCGCCTGCACCGCAGGACAGGACGCGTCATATTCACCGCGATTGGCGCTTCAGCAAACGAGCGACTATACTCCCCGAGGCGAGTGCTCGAATCTACGCAACGAGGTCGACCAAAAGAATTCCGGTTCGTTTCTTGACGACTTGAAGATCGGAATCGGCGATTCGACACGGTCGGCATTCAGCGCAGTCGTCTCGAATCGCCCTACCAAAGCTCCTCGCCGAAGAATCCCAAGCTTCATATCACGCCCGTTAGATACTACGAGATAAATACCCTCGATGATCTCTCCAGGCATGAAGTAAAGTTCTCCTTGTCCAGGGTTGAAGCCGAGGGCTTGGCTCAAGTGGTACATAATGCTGATCGACTGACAATTGACTTGGAGACGCAACACATGGTTGCTGGGGCATTCACGGAGGCAATGCGGAATGAGGACAATAAGCACAATTTCAAGTGTCTCGACATATCGGAGAAATTCAGTGGATTATTTAACCTGCAACTCGAGTGACATCACGCCCGTTACTTGATTTAGGCACCGACTTGAAATTAAAGAGTTGAATGTCAATTTGAACCGACTATTTTGCTAGCTTTCTAAGGTCTCGGGATGATAGGATAAATAGACGAGACATGATTGAGGGTTTGTTATGAAATGTTGGAAGCTAAGTCGGGTTCCAAGGAAGATGATCGCGATTTCAAAACGGGATCGACGGATTCGGCTGGTGATGCAGCTTGGTAAAACGGCATTAGTATTCGATGCACTCTGCAAAGTCCGCCCGGAGACTTACCAACTTGTCCTAGGATTCGGGAATATGCTCCGACATCCCTCGTGGTACTGGCTCGAGCTGGAACAGCTTGGGCATGTTCTCCTATCGCTGCCTTGCCGACTCCCCTCGTTTCTGCCAGGCCATCCTGATTGCCAGACTTATCATTCCAAGAAGGAAGATGGAACCGATTGCCACACCAGCACCAATTGCCGATCCAACATCATCTCTCTCGTAAAGCCCGTTGGTCGAGCGAGAAACGACGTCGCGGGTGAGCCAGGTCGGGCGCTTAAGCGGAGCGGCGTATGCTGTCGAGATGTACAACAGCACAAGGGGGAGCCTTGATCGCGAGAAAAGGGAGACAAGTGAGGTCTGTCGAGCCATTTTCAGGATTCGGGGCGAGTTGATGTTGTTGTCAAGTCTGGGTGTGGTTCGTTTCTTGCACTGGCGGCGTTACCCTTTTTGTACGGCGGCTCCTCAGCTGTGCTTGACCTGAACCTCACTGTTTCCAGTCTGCCTTGCATGGGCCTTTCCCTAACAAGCTTTGGCAATACAGAATTGGGATGCATAGGGGGAAGGAATAACCACTCCTCCAGGTCCCTGCAATGGTTAAAGGGGAAAGAACATCGGCCCGCGATGAGTAACCTACCATTCTTGGCAGTTTGCTTTATGCTGCCCAACTGGATTGGGCTGTAACTCACAGCTAAGGCCACTACAAGGTAGGTTGCCAAATAGCTGGCGGCTGACGCTAGTAAATTACCTAAAGGGACTGTTGATAGTACGAGTACCGGACTATCCTTCAGTTAAGGGAATGTCTTGCTAATCTAACGGACTGTACGCGAGCCAAGACCTCAGAGTGATCTGTCTTCCTGGCCTTCAGGACTTCCACCAATGATTCAATTATCTCACACACCGAGAAAGCCTTCCCGAGGCTGTTTTGCGGAGTAGGTGGGTAGCATTAATTCTAAACCTCCCGGCCGGCCACAGCCACGCCGCAGTGTCAGGGGGACGTCCTCCGAAATATTTACTCCGCCACCGTAGTCTTGGCACTCTCCCTTGTTGATTGCAATGGTCATTGTAAACAATATAATTCAATACTAACTACGCTGCGGCCCGTCATACGTCTGCCAAACGCAAGTGGGCGTAGAAAAAGTTGGCAGCGCCCAAGAAGTGTCCCAGACGCCCGATATTCACGTTGTCGACAGGAATCGCGCTTTCTCCGCCCGACAGGGTTTACAGAATTTGTATTTAGTAAATCGGTCGGTGAGATGCATGGATGTGGAAGGCGACGGGCACGGCGCGGGGATTAACTAGGATCGATCATCGAGGATAGTAGGAGAACAGTCGTAGAAGGATCAACATCCTGTGAAGGGGAGATGCTGCTTAAGCCTCGCATTGGTACCGCCTCCTAGACGCCGTTAGTCTCAGCTGATGATCGTCCAAGCATGCTTCCAAGTCTCATAAGTAGATACCTTCGATCCCAAAAGGTTGAAGTCCCTGTTTCCGTAGGTTGGGAATCTTTTTGTAGTACGTGATATGCCTGGTCCGGTGATGCCAAGGCTAACTCTTGAGTGGTTAAACCCGTGAGAGAAGGCATGGCATGAGGAATGGCAAGATTGTGGTCGTACATGGAGGAGGTCCCTAAGTGCTCTCGCCTATGCCCAGTCCCGTTCCAGCCGCGGTTGCGACTCACGTGCGTGTCTGCCCAGCAGTATGCCTCAGGCATTGGGCTGTCAAGGTACAGTTTGCCCCAGAACTAAGGCACCCGGTTTCCTCTTCTTCTTCGTCATTAATGTTACTTGGCAATAGATTGCATATATCACTTGTCTAAGCACAAAATTGTTTACACTCTCTCATACTTGCCATGCCCCAGCTATTACCACACAACCGCGAACCCCTCAACTCGTACCCTCGAGCCAACGTTGCCAGCGAACAAGATCTTGCTTTTCTCAACGACATCACAGAATCTCTATTCTCCTCTCGAATTCTCCACTCGGCCGTATATCCTACCACACTGTTGACTCTCCGGAAGCGGAATCTTCCTGGCTGGCTACATCATCGATTCATAGGGGCTATGGTTCATATCATAAGGTGAGTGCTTGGCTGGTTTACAGGGTTTATCGAGTCACGTTTCTCCCTAGATGCTACGTCTAAGCTAAATGACCATATGTACCTAGATCTATCCAGAAAACGCCTTACACGTTACGCTTTCTCCCTTCTCTCAACAACCACGGACGATAATTAGACGGTCGCGCCCTCCACAAAGCGAAAGTCGAAGAAGAAAACCAAGATACCGATCCCTTCCTGCTTAAGATCAAATCCGAGTATGCCGTCGCCGTTAAGCATGTTCAAGGAAATTCGCGAACCGACCCCTGCCAAAGTCCTCCGAGAGAGCCTCTGCGCGCTTCCGCTGTACTTTACGGACAACCTCACTGCACAACGCCAGAAGCCTTTCCGTCTCCTCTTGGTGGATATGTTTCACCGCTCCGTCGAGCCATATCAACGCTGCGTCAACAAGATGAACATCTTGCTGTATGTTCGCGTGTTGCGGATGGAACAGGTTGTTGGTTGTCATAAGCACCATGGATGATGTATAGGAGCACGAGGTCATCCTTCTCGGCGTCAGTACTGTGTCATTCATCGAATTGAGAAGCCAGTCACCTACCAGTTGAACCATGCGTCGCTCGACCACGTCTCCGAAAACAACAGAGCGTACGCTCGCGCTTGGCCCACAAGCTGCTCCCATTTCGGCGGGAGCTGCAAGGTCTCGGTGCCCCTTCCATGGTCACGAAGACCCTTTAGCCACTGCTTATCCCACGCATGAGCCCGGTTGAGGTGGGTTATGCAAGCCAGGCTAGCTGCGTGCAGGACGCAGAAGAAGCCAGCCATGGCAGGGTTGTTGATCGTATTTGAGGTGACGACATCGGCGAGGAACTCCGGCGGTATAGACTCCTGCCACTTCTCGAGAGCAGTGGCGATGCTCTCCATTGCAAGCGATCTCTCTTCCGGGCTACGCTTCATGGATCGTGTCGAGTAGAGGAAGTCGTACACGCCACCTTCGATATTGGCCAGATGCACACGCATCAGGAAGTAATTCATCCTGGCGTTCCCGTTTGCTGTCACGATAATTCCAGCACTGTCGCCCTGTTTGTCGTCATCCAGCGGTATATCAGAAGGCAAGTCTAGGTCAACGTCATCATCGAGCTGAAGCGAAGGTTGCCCAGCACGCAGGCTTATGTCCTTGTCGAGGATGTATGCTAGCCAGAAGACGCGCGAATGCTGTATCCTATCCACTGGGTCCAGATGCGCTGATCCGGCACGATTGTGTAGGCTGATCTTGTGCGCCAGACGAATGGTGGCTGATATCAGGATCAAAGCCGGAGTAACATCATGCGCCGTCTGAAGGACCATGATCATGCCTACTAGGACTTGGATGTTGAGGAGTCGAATCTGGCCCAACATGACGGTCGAGACAACTGACTGTGCTTGATTGAGATATTTGTCAATGTAATAACGCCGAGATCGGACACTTCCCCATGGGTAATTTGTATCCTCGGGCATATGCTGGCAAGCCAACGCTAATACAACGTTGATGGCCGCCCATTCTACGTGATCACGCTGTTGGGGTAGAGTTGCATAGCACTCCCCGAATAAGCGCAAGAGTGCATCGTCATTGAACAGGGGAAGAACCGAGTTGAAATTGGTCAGAAAGACGCCCAGAAGAGACATAGCTTGCTCCAATGGAGGTAAACCCATGGGGGTCGTACTCTCGTAATCATCAGTAGGCTCATACTCGACAGGGGCAACTCCAGCCTCCCCAGTCGCCACGTTCTGTCTTGGGTTCAGGGGGGCAGCCTGCTCTTTGGATTGTTGCAGTGTATGTTGATCCTGGATTTATAGTGTGTCAGCATTGCACCAAATTTAGATACAAGGAAAGATTGACATACAAGCTGCGTCCTCAGATGTTGTACTTCAGATCTCAGCAGTTTGATTTCGTCCACATCGGCGGCATTTCTATTGCGTTGTGACTTGGGTTTCGACCTGCGGCTTGGGGCAGTATGCTTGCATTCGACATCATAAGCAATGCAGTTTGAGCAGCGCGGTTTCTGCCCGTCGCACTTGATCTTGCGATTGTAGCAAAGATCGCAGGACTGTTTGGTCGCTTAGTAATTGAGGAACTGGGGCTTGCGCGGAGAGGTTTGGCCGTTTTCACCTTTCTGGGAAGATTGTTTGCTTCCATGATTGTTCCAAGACCCACAGACTTTAGGCCAAGCAATACCAGTGCCGTATTTGGGGAGATGGATGGGGAATGAGGTTCGACGTGAAGTCGACGGGGGGTTGATATTTGATGCCTCCATGGAGGTGATAGCCGCTTTCACCCAAAAGGGGAAAGCGCCAGGAGCCTCCGTGGAAGCTTGCTGACAAAAGCTCCAACTTCCATCTTTAATCATCTTGCTTATCTAATTATCCTCTACCACCTACCCGGTACCCTCCCACGGTCTACCTCTCGGCCGAGGCATCCCCGATTTCCAACCAAGTCGCTATCAGGCGATACACCCCGGAGACTCCCTGATTTATCATTCTTATCATTCTCACTTCTGATGTAAGCCAACGCCTAGAGGAAGAGGCTTCGTTAGAGTTATACTAATTCTATACGTACCCATTTGAAACAAGACCGAGCCTAACAATTGTCCGTCCTCACAATTATTGACCAATTCAGATCACGACATGCTTGAGACACCCCTCTGATTTCTTCCACGGAAAAGAACCGCCTCCGATTCGAGAAAACTATCTCTCGCCTCAACCTCTCACAATCATGTCTGCCACAAAGAAAGATGCTATTAGATCCAGGTATAAGTAGTCCTCGAGCAACTGTCTTGTTGCCGAAACCTCACCATCCAAATCATCCAACAACTGCAGTATCACAGAAAGCTCGAACCAGATCTCCTCCTCCAAGAAACAATGGCTGACTACGTCTCCTTCACCAAAACCTACCACAACAAGCCCTACGCGGCAATTGATCCCACCCAGCCCAAACTCAGCGTCTCCGGCAAGTTTGTCGCCATCACCGGCGGCGGAACAGGCATCGGCAAGGAAATCGCTATCGCGTTTGCGCAGGCGGGCGCGAAAACCGTTGCCATCCTCGGAAGACGAATCGAGAAGCTCGAGGCTGCAGCCGCCGAGATTACTGCAAATTCCAGCTCCGGCGACACCAAGGTCATCTTCGAGAGCGCTGATGTCAGCAAGCGCGAGAGCCTCGACGTGGCGGTCGAAAGGCTGGTCGCAAAGGCCGGCGGCGCCAAGGTTGACATTCTCGTCCACAATGCGGGCAGCTCCCCCGAGGTCGGCAGCGTGGAGGGCTTCGATGAGGCCACATTTCGCCATGAGCTGGACATCAATGTGCTGGGCGCCTTCAACACTATTCAGTCCTTTGCGCCCGCGCTGACCAGCAACGCTCGCGTGTTCAATGTCTCGTCCGGGATGGCGCACATCGCGCCCGTTCCGGGGTTCTGGGTCTACTGCACCGTCAAGGCGGCGGTCGTGAAGATGTTTGATTTTGTCCAGGTCGAGCATCCCGACTGGCATGTCGTGCAGATCCAGCCTGGTGTTATAGCTACGGATCTCAACACTAGGTTTGATTTCCCCAAGACGGATGATCGTAAGTGGCTCCCCATTTGCAAACTACCCAGACTAACGTCCTCCGTATCTTGCTAACTTGGAACTCATCTTAGCTAAACTTCCCAGCCAGCTTCTTGTCTGGCTTGCCTCTCCCGAGGCCTCATTCCTCAAAGGCAAGTTTGTTTGGGCTAACTGGGATGTGGACGAGCTCAAAGCTCGTGCCGATGAGATCAAGAACTCTTTACTTCTGAGAGTCTCGCTTAATGGGGCTGTGATGTAATACGGGATGCCCGCGCGTGATCTTATCAGGTATCTGGCTCAGACAAACACTCTATTAAAAAGGGGCTCGAGCAAGCATTCGCCGTCTTTGTCCGCATTCATTAAATAGCATGTGTCAAACAAAACTAGCTAGTAGATAGGATGTCATTTGTCCCCAAATTTCTGGTCAAAACTCCCCATCCAAATTGCTAGGACGTTTTATCAGTGAGAATCTAATTGCTAGCTAAATTCTATGTATTAGATTGACCACACCACCCTCTATTCGACAATTGTGGACTGTAGCATCTACACCTCAGGGGATATAAAGGTACTCCTATAACGAGTAGATAGGTTGGATTTCACCCTAGGGACATGAAATAGCAGGCCAGCATTACTGATAAAGAAAGAAAAAAGAGGTGGCCACAAGGTAGAATATTAAGCAAGAGGATAACGCTTTTCGGCCTCTTGCTTGAACGCTGCATTAAAGGCTTCCCAATTCGGGGACGGTGCGGGTTCCTTTTTGGCGAAGGGAGAGTACATAACAGCCAGAGCGCCACCGAAATTTTCGGTCTGGATGAAAGTTGTACCTCCTGCGATTTCTTTGCTGGGAGTGAAGAGAAACGAGTGTTGACCTGAGAGGAGAATGGGTATCGATCCGGTCCAAGTGAAACGTTCGGGGGAATTCTCCTAGCGCGACCGTTAGACAAGATTGGATTGTGAGGTCAAGTAAAGTCTTTTGGCAAGCAAACCTCAATGTACGGGCGGAAGACCATCCCATGCATGGCAACTCTAAGTCGATCTCCAACCTCCAAGTCCGACTGCGCCTTCGTGGTGTCCATAAGGGTGATGGCCCAGCCTTTCTGCCATTCATTGTACCGAGCAAAATCTAAGAACTGTTTTACATTATTAGCATCTTCAGAGGTGATCGTAAGACTTGAGTCCAATTCACACTTACCACTTTTCGGACTGCGTCTGGAGACGCAGCGATGTCGATTTGCGCATATACCTCGACTCTGCCCATGATGCAAGCTGTGTCTTGAGGATTGGTATGTAAGGATGCGAAGAGAAATCTGTTTTTGTTGAGAAACGATTGTTGCTTGAGTTTTCGAATATCAATGCTTTGCAATTGGGAAAATTCAGCCAAGGTCGCGGAGGGCAATCTTATAAACATTTGGTTCCATCTTGGAGTTATCGCCAATTCGAGGAGCCGAGGAGGCCGAATGATGTTACAGGGAGTTCGTTCGCTAAGATTTCGGGCTCTTCAATCTTGGGCAGCTGCCGTGTTCTAAATCGAAACAGGTTAGACCAGATTGGGCTGCCCATTATGTCAGCGAAACTCGGCTCAAGCTCGGTTCGGCCAAACGAACAGCCACATCAGGACTGTGCCACAACTCATCGCATCTTCCCAGCGATGAAGCGCAGGCTGTGAACGCTTTGATGGCCGATGAATCTTCAGACCATTATTTAAATCGCAGGCTCCCACTCATCACTAACTCTCCGCCAACTCAATTCCAAGAATTTGGACAACAAACATGTGGCTTGCCTGTGATTTGTGGCTTGGTAGATTGGCTTAGTCAGTGCCGTGCCAGTTCAGTCTAGGTAGCTGCGCTCGCGCAAAATTCGGCAGCTCTCGGCCGCGAGTTAGGCGAGCCATGCCATGGACCTACCCTGTAGCGACAACCATCTCGGCGTGTAGCAAAAGGTTTGAATTGACAGTAGGTACCTCATAGATATTACCAAACATCATAGAATGAATATTGCAAAATTATATTGTCAAATCTGGATAAGGCTAGTAATTGGAGTGTAAGTAATTTGAAGTACCAAATAACGCAATGAGGACGGAAATGAAATCAATTGCATGACCAGTAAATTGCCTGGTTGCCTTGGAACTATTACATACAGGTAGCACGGACAAGAAATGCGGTCGCGGTTGGATCGCCAAGTTCGCCTCAACTGTTTGTTTTTGGTCTGGGTGGTCAATCTGACATCTAACTAAAACTTAGCTAGCAATTAGAATCTCACTGCACCATCCCTTATTGTAGACCCTTGAGGTGTGATGGCACGTAGTATGTTGCATCCTGACGGATGACCTCGGCTAAATGCTTCGAACAAGGGACGGGAAGTGACCTTGACCAGACTCTCGGGTCGTTCAAGAGGTGTCCGAGATATTGGCCTTATCTTAGAGTGAACATGCAATGGTGTGACCGGAGGCCTTCACCGTCTCACCATCTTATTCTCTGCCATCAGTAACTCGGACTCGCCCTGCACAGGAGGGTGATAAAAGAACCATGATTGGAACTGGAAGAAGATATCAGCTACTCGCGGGATGCATACCGATTGGCTAGCAGTATAAAAAGGTTGGGGTAGAGCCCTTGGCTCGATTAATTCAGTCGCTGATCTGATGCTCTATTGGACTAATAACACCCTGGAAGGATGTGGAGAGTCTTGTATTATCAGCGTCCCCCACAACTGAACCATGCTCGCCACCTTGGATTAATTGCTGAGGCGGGGGGGACTTTGCAGGGTGACCGGGCTCGTTATCCGACGGGAGCTGTTGAGACCCGAGTTCGCTGGAGCCATTGGCAGGTAGAGACTCGTGCGCCTCCTGCATTTTGTAGAGTGCACTCCCTTCCACTTCACCCAACAACGTCCCTCCTTCAGCACCGCATTCAAGCTCAATTATTCGCGCTTCCAACATTCTAATCGCATCCCTGCCATATAGAAAAAAGGGGTTCAAGATGGATCAAATCGACCATACCATCCTCGGCATCGATGCCACCAACGCTACGGATAAATGCAACAACTTCCGAGCCGTATCGACATTCCGCAACCGTACACCTCGACCAAGGGTCTCTATCTAATCAGGCCACATTGCGTATATCCGGTCCAGTTACGGAGAACCTGGAATCCCTGCGAACTGTACCCCGCCTGTCGCTTTGCCGCCAGGTGCCCGAACCAGCTTCCCGTTTCGGTAGAGTCCAACCTCGCTCTATCTGTGCTTTCCCCAGACCTTGTCTAATGCCTGATATCTTATCACCCAGAACTTTTGTCCCCGCGTGATGGCTTCTATCTGTGGCCCTTCTCATCCTTGGCTCCTCGATGTCACCTCGTCCGAGTGATGGCCTATCGCCCCGCTACCGACGGCTTGGGCAAACCAACACACGTGCCAATCGACATCCCCCGAGACTTCAAGCCATGGCCGAGTATAAATAACACGTCTTGCTGTCCCCCGATCAGCACACCCCCAGACGTTTTCGGTCTCCCCCCAGCCACGCACATCTTGTTATTGTTTGGGCCCCTGGTCTAGCATAGCGGCGGCAATGGACGTACACCAGGTTGCCTCCTCCTCAACGGAGCCTCCACCCTCCCCATCCGCCAAGACTGCGGAGAAGATCCAAGTTGTGGAAAAAGTCAAGAAGTCCCACCAGTGGGATCCCAACCTGCCCCAGGAAAAGGTTGACGAGATATCTGCTGCACTCGATACAGGCGAGGTAGAGGTCATCGCTGAAGTTGAGAAAGACCTCGCGACCAAGTCCCCATACGAAGAAGTCCGGGCTGCCGTCCGCGAAATCGACAATGAAGAGTACGCGAATACCGTGAGGGCTTGGGTTCTGGGCATGCTATTTGTGACAATTGTGTCCGGAGTCAATATGTTTCTGAGCATGCGCAGCCCGGCAATCACTATCCCCGCCGTGGTCGTGATCCTCATTACATACCCCGTCGGTATCCTCTGGTCCAAGATTATACCCATGCACAAGTTCAGGACTTTTGGTGTTGAATGGTCGCTCAACCCTGGGCCCTTTTCCGTCAAAGAACATGCTGTCATCACGCTCATGGCCAAGATTACAGCGGATTACCCCTATTCGACCAATGCTCTCGAGGCGTTGCAGGCACCATCGCTATACAACCACAATCTCGGATGGGGATTTGCTCTCATGTTCACCCTGAGCAGTCAGATCATTGGTATCTCCATGTCAGGCATGTTCCGACGATTCTTGGTCTGGCCGTCTGCGATGGTATGGCCTGGCCAATTTGGCACCACTTCTCTGCTTTATACGCTGCATGACACCAGCAAGTCTGAGCAGGTCAGTGCCAACGGCTGGAAACTTTCTCGATACAGGTGGTTTTGCTATCTTGCAATTGGGTCATTCTGCTACTACTGGCTCCCGGCTGTCATCTGGCAAGGACTCTCAGTCTTCGCATTCATCACCTGGATCAAGCCAAAAGACGTTGTTGTCAACCAGCTCTTTGGAGGTGTGTCTGGGTTGTCTCTAATTCCCATCACCTTTGATTGGACCTACATCTCCGCTTATTTGCTGAACCCTATGCTCTCTCCATGGCACTCGCACCTGAACTGTCTTATTGGACTTGGAATCTTCGTCATCATTCCTACACTCGGCATGGCGTACTCCGGGACATTCTTCTCTGAATACCTGCCCATCAACACCTCGCGAACCTTTGACAATACAGGGCATAGGTATAATGTGTCCAGAATTCTTACAGACGACTTTAAGTTTGATGAGGAGGCTTACAAGAAATACTCTCCCATGTTCCTCGCACCGACGTTCTTTCTCAACTATGGTCTCTCGTTTGCCACCTTGACTGCTGCGCTGGTTCACACAGCCCTCAACCACAGCTCCGAAATCTGGTATCGTTTCAGGGCAGCCGGCAACCAAGAGCCAGACGTGCACATGGCCATGATGAAGAAGTACAAAGAGGCTCCCGACTGGTGGTACGGAATCGTCTGGGTTTGCGCCATGGCACTAGGTCTGGCGACAGTCCTGGGATACAGCACTCAGCTCCCATGGTGGGGATTCATCATCTCGTGTCTCATCGCCTTCGTGTTCATCATCCCCCTGGCGATGATCTTGGGCATCACCAACATCCTCATCTCCCTCAACGTGCTGTCTCCGTTTATTGGCGGATTCATCTTCCCTGGGCGTCCCATCGCAAACATGCTTTTCAAGGTCTACAGCACGATTGTCCTTGGACAGGCCCAGGTGTTCAGTGGTGACCTCAAGTTTGCTCACTACATGAAGGTGCCTCCCCGTACCACCTTCTTCTGTCAGATCTCTGCTGCCATCTGGTCCGTGTTTGTTCAGATTGCCGTCATGGTGAGTTATTCGAGCTATCACCTACTTTTAGAATATCCACTAATCTGATGTCTCCTCCACAACTTAGAATTGGGCTTTGGGCAACATCCCAAACATCTGTGAGGCTGACCAGGCGAGCAACTTCACCTGTCCCAACGGAAGCACCTTCTTCTCATCGAGTATCGTCTGGGGTGTCATCGGCCCGCGAAAGTTCCTGGGCGCCGGCACCATGTACCAGTCGATCCACTACTTCTGGCTCCTCGGCGCCGTCCTCCCCGTCATCCTCTTCTTCATCTCGCGCAGGTGGCCCAAGTCCATCTTCCGCTACCTCCACGCCCCCGTCCTCCTCGGCTCCCTGGGCTGGCTCCCGCCCGCCACGCCCCTCAACTTCTCCACGTGGGCCGGCGTCGGCCTGCTCTTCAACTTCTGGATCAGGCGCCGCTGGAAGGCGTGGTGGATGACGTACAACTACATCACCGCCGCGGCCATCGACGTTGGGCTAATCATCTGCACGCTGATTGTGTTCTTTGCGTTGACCCTGCCGGGGGTTGATGTGCCGCAGTGGTGGGGGAATGTCAAGGTTTTTGAGACCCTGGTAGGTTTTTAATTGGATTTGTTTTTCATATGCTTGAGAGAAAGATAACTGACTGTTCATAGGATGCTATGGGAACGGCTATCAGGAAGGTTGTTCCTGAAGGTGAGACCTTTGGACCAGCCAGTTGGTAATAGATCAATGTCATTTGGAATTGGTGTCTGTCTTGTTCGAGTAACAGATTCTTTCGCCTCTCATAGTACACCCCAGTAGTCACAAACGAATATGTTCATAAATGAGACAATTTAATGAATGTTTCCTAACTATGTTCGTTTGCAGTGTAATGATTAGGCTTGGACACGTACGGTTACGAACTATTTTTGAGAACGACCGTTAAATAAAGAGTTTGACAAAGACATCTGGGCTAATGACATCCCATCTCTTAGCGAGTGTTTGGCATATGTTATTAAACAAATGCGGGCTAGGTAAAGGTAGTTTGAAATCAACCAGATAGAACAAAGAGGTCGCAACGAAAGCGAAATCAATTGAAAGACTAAAAATAGTAGACTTCCTCATTACATTGGCATTAAGCCGACAAATAAAAGAAATACTAAAGACAATCGTCTTCTCATCGTTGTTGTTTGGCAACACTCCTTCCGTTAAGAAATTCAGGCAATCATCTCGTCACTACTCTGCCAAACACATTTTATGGCTTTCGTTAGAGATTCTCCTTTCGCCTCATTTCAATGGTCAAACAACAAATAAAAGCATAATTCTCACGAAATTCCACTCTTGCAAGTCAATAAAGATAAATTGGAACCTTCCAGGTAAGCTGCTCTATTTTTTTCCCAATATTGGGAGGCCTTAAAATGCCGGAAGCTTAAAATGCTGGAAGCTTAAAATGGAAGCACAAGCTCGTTGAGGCGGCGGCCAAGTGTGTAGATTGGCTTGATGGGGATTGCACTAATGCGAATCTCCATGTTGGTTGAGCATGGTGGCTTCACGCCCGGGTCGCTAAACTTGCACAGAAACATGGAGTTGATGTTTGTTTCATAGAGGTAAACAAAGTCGGACCGGGGCTTCGCCAAAATGAGCTTTGGTCGAAACTGTGTCTGGTCAGCAACATTCTGAATCACGGCAACAGGAGGTCTCCATACTGTCATGCGCAGCACATCAGAGAGTGAATCAATCTCAGCTGCAGATGCCTGCTGCTCCTGGGCCATAGCGACCAAGAGCGCAGGGATGTATGGGTCGTGCATCGGGTTTTCGGGTGTTGTCTGCTTGATCTTGATGTCACTGATGGCGCGTGCAATCTTCTAAGCTACAGCGTTATCACCGTACATCTTGGAAGAGGGCTCATGATAGTCCTCTCGGATCCACTGGAGACGCTTCATGTCCAGATAAACTGCGAACGGCGGGGAGCGTTCGTGTTTGGAGACAGGCTGGGCATGAAAGGTGGTGCATGGAAACACCTCCGCAATTTTGCCTTCAAAGAATAGGCCTAAACAGCCACTGAAATCACGAATAGAAAATGTCAGCGAGGAAAAAGCATGGATTTTGGATCCACGCAACTTACCCCTGGTAGATCTTCTTGTCCTGGCACATGAGGTATGGTACCGAATGGGCTCGCTTCCAAGCGTTCACATTGGCGAATGACTGGAAGAGCAAGTGCAAGGTATTGGGCCCTGCTTCTTCTTCTTCAACGGGATGATCATAGGTGACTCTACCAAAAGAGCAGTTGAGTAAATCAAGGTGGAGGTTTGTCCAATGTGAGGGCACAGCAATAACTCGCTCTCTGGGGAGGACGCGAGCAATTTGGAAGGTTGACAGAGGTTTACCATCCGCTCTGATCAAATCCATCTTGGAAAGGATGAATGTCTTTGCTGCGTATTCGTGCTGGATGGTTCAAACCAGTGTTTGTGGCGCGGTGGATGGAAAGAAAGAGGTTGTGGTTGTGGGAAGGGAGATGCGAGTGCGAGATTATGTTAAGTGAGATGCAAGTGAAGGGGGGCAGATGAGGCAAGTGCAGAGGAAGCAGGTGCGGGGTAATGTTATTATTGTCTCTGCCTAAGGGAGGCAGGCGCTAGGCAGGCAGGCAGGCAGGCAGGCAGGCAGGCAAGCAGGCAGGCAGATACCAGGCCTGCTTCTAGTAGGTGATGTAGGCACATTGTAGTGGTCACTGATGAGTTTTGCCAGCCATGATAAGAAAAGAGGTTAATTTTCAGTGTTATGATGAATTAAAGACAAAGTCCCACGCAATTCCATTGGTCTTGTGATCTATCTGATCATTTTGGCCTTTGATACAGTGTTTCCCCTGATCTCGTCCAGCAAAGGCCCCAAGCTATTGTACAACGACAACATCTCCACACCCAGGTTTGCAGACCGTACTGCTCGGAGAGATTTTGATGATGGCGCAAGGTTGATGAGCACGCTTGGCCATGAACTAATTTTGCTGCCCTCTCCGAGGAGGTATGTGGTCCCGTATGAGCCTAGGTAGTTGGATTAGCTTCCACCCAGAGATCCAACGGCAGAGCAGTGTGTAAGAGTATCATCTCAAGCCGCTATTCTACAGTTTGGAAAACTTACCTTTGAACATGTGGACAAAGTAGATAGAGTATGACGATGAACAAGATGTTAACCGTGTCGCGATCCATTGCTGCAGCCGGGATTTGCGATCCAGGTATTTGGTTTGAAAGGCAAGTGGATATTGACAAGCGAACCAGAGGGCCGCGAAGTAGGATGGCGTGTTGAAACAGGCTTGGATTGGGCTTCTAGGTAGATGAAGCAGTGACGAGATTAATGGAATCAAGCTGAGGATGTCAACAAACAGGGATAGGAATTTTCCTGGGCGACTTGCTAGAGAAACACGCAGAGGGGTGGAAACCTGAGGCAGAAGTAGAAAGGTACTATAAGTCGGGAAGGAAGTAGAGAGGGACCTGCCTTCCAGGTATCCTAGGTGGCGACGCCTGTGAGTCACTGCACTGACTCCAAGAGAACACTCCTATCTATCACCCGTCAGATCCACTATGATCGCTTGCATATTGGCTCTATTCGCATTTCTCGTCCACAAGAACCTTTCATCTATCGCTCAGATCACCCGAGCCAGACTTTGTGATGATTTGTGGTCTTCTACTCCTGCTCCTGGCGCATCTCTCGTCAAGAAGGAACATCCACAAGAGAGAATGGACCACAAAACAGACCTCCACCAAGGACATTCCCAAGAAAAGGGGAGAGCATCCCTGAGTTCACAGTTAGTCTGGCCAATTTCTTTGCAAAGTATAAGTCGATTGGTGACTGACTTTTCTACATATAGAGCTCGGCCGTCAGCCTCCTTATCCCTACCGAAAGGCCCCATGGCCACGACGCGATCGAATCCTGATGACCACGAACGCGAAGATAGTCAGCCATATCACAATTGTCTTGGACAACAGGTCCTTTGCCTGGCCTCTGTTAAATTGGCAAGTAAACAAGCCAGCTGCACCCGATAGCTCGAAGGGAGGTTTGATGCGTTTCAGGGATCCAATTACCTCTTCTTCACAACGGAAATCACCTAGTCTTGGTACAAATCGCTTTCAGATATTCCAGTCGTTGTTGAGGAGCCACTTTCGCCTCGTCCGTTCCACCGGGATGACTTACACCCAAATAGAATAGCCGTCATAAAAGAGACCCAAGCAGATCTCTAAGCTAGGCACTCAACGGTTGCAAGTCCTATTGCAGGGGTTCGCCTGTATGAAACCACACGGGATATCGTTGGTTATGAGCTACGTAGGTACGGATACGCTCCCTCCCAGATAGATCGTATTTGAGCATATTGAATACATTAATTTATTAAATTATACTTCTTCCTTGTAAAGATAACTCTAAACAACGATAGAGAGCTTGATGTTTAAGCTGTCTGTGCTCTCTTCAATATTTAAACATTCTGCTCTTTCTGGAATATTCAAAAATTCTCCTCCTTCTTTGATACTCACAAATTCTCCTCTCTCTTCATGGGCCTTTAATCGCCCTCGCTTGATCAAATCCGCCGCCTTTTCAGCAACAGCGTACACAAGACTCTGAATGTTGCCAGCAGGTTCAAGCGGAAAGATGCTCGCGTCGACAACACGGACACCCTTCACGCCATAAACTCGAAGCTCGCTATCCACGACGCCTCCCTTGTCCTTTGGCCTCATACCGCAGCTGCCAGCGGGGTGGAAGTCACTAACTTGCGACTGGCGAACTATCTCCTTGGCGTCTTCAACTGTCTCAGCTTTCAGACTTGGAATTCGAGCGCCATCAGTCTTCAATAAAGCTGAAAAAGGCTCGGTTTTGATAAGGGTCTCGACAAATTGGAGATGGCGAGCACTGAGCTCCGTGTCGAAAGGATTGGAGCCGAAGTTGGGATCCCAGACTGGCAGGTCGTGGATATTAGAGCTCTTGATGTGCACGCTGCCTCGTGAGAAGGGATGGTTGAGCAGCGTCATGATCGTGAGGTAGTTCTCTGGCCTTGCGGGGATCAAATATTCGGCCATGCTGCTCGGCTCCGAAACTACAGTGTTGACCTGCCCTGGGAAAAGGAGATACTCTGCTGTGGCCTCGTCCCCGCTTTTAGGATGGCCCGCAAGGTTTTGCTGTCGTCTGAATTCAGATGCTCAGCGTTGCTATCGAATAGATCCTTGCGTCCCTGGGATGATATTACTCCTGACGCATCTGTGGGAGGCATGAGAGCAACGCTGATATTAGATTGGCCCAGAGGCCCAGCACCGTTTGAAGTTGTGTACTTCTGCAGCAGTGCTTGGAAGATTGCTGGATCTCGAAGCACATCGCTCGAGGGTGTGTCCGGGTTCACCTCGAAGCTCTGGCAAGCGATGGGATGGTCTTGAAGGTTCTCTCCCACCGAAGGATTATGAACAATGACAGGTACGCCATGACTCTCAAGAAGTGAGCGATCCCCGATCCCGGAGAGCTCGAGAATTTGCGGGGTCATGAGGGAACCTGCTGCGAGTATGACTTCACTGCTATGGATGACAGTCTCAGGGCCTGGGCCGTTGCTTGGTACGGTAATTACGCCCTGCGCAACAGGCTCGACGCCAGAGGTGTCGAAAAGAAGTCTCTTCACCACAGTGTTCGTAATCACGGTCAGGTTCTTTCGGCTGGCGATCTCGTGGGTGTAGTAGGCCGTGAGAGCATAGCTTCGGGTCTTGGTTTCTGGATCAATAGTGGCTGGTTGTTGGAAAGCCCCTAACGCACCGCCGGGTCTGATATCATCGGCTACTTCTAGTCCGAAGTTCTTGAATGATTTCATCCAGGCTTTGTTCGTCGTACCATATCCTTCAGAGTAGGAGACGCTGACGGGACCTTCGCTACCGAGATCTGTATTATGGTAGGATAGGTCTAAGGCATTTTTCGCGGCTTGTGGAGGGTCGTGCACAGTAGCAAATTTACAAAGATAAGGGGCCATGGAGTCGGATCCCCAACCTTCATTCCCTAGCTCTTCCCAGGAGTCTAGACTCTTCCTCGAAGGGTGGACTAGCATCAAGAAGTTGATGGCGGATGAACCACCCAGCCCCTTGCCCCTTGGCTGAGCGATGATTCGGTTGTTGAGCTCTTTCTATAGTAGGTTAGATCTTGGAACGTGGGAGGAAGCATCGACTAGGACTGAACCTAACCTGAGGAACGGAGCGGAAGCCCCAATCATACTTGGGGTTGCCATAGGTACCGGCCATCAGCCCAGGTGTGTTGATTAGAGGGTCATCACGATGGATGTCACCAGCTTCAATGACCAAGACACTGATGGTAGGGTCCTCGGTCAGACGAGCGGCAACGGTAAGCCCAGCTGTACCGCCTCCAACGATGATGTAGTCATACGGTGGTGCCATTTTGATAGCAATGGGTGCAGTATACAGCTTGAATGTGCAATGGCTGGGCTTATTCCTAGGCTATTAACACCAGCTCTCTACGCTATACGGAAGGAACCGTCTTGTATATAGCGTGATAAGAGCGGAGGACGGACACCTAGATCCCAGTTTAAGCCTTGAGATCGTAGGGCGATTTCATCCCGCTACTTATACACAGAAAGCCTGGGTGATCCGTATGATTTAGTCGGTATCTGGTATGTACGGTGGCGGGGCCACTATCCGCTTACGCTTTCCCATGCCCTTGCATATGGTATTTGGTAAGACATCCATCGGGCTGGTGTGGAGGATTGTTACAACATTGGCTATCAACTCGTCGGGTGGCTAACGGCGTCAGCGCATGCATGATGCGATGATTACCACAAGTAGAATCATGTCCGCCACACTACAGAGCTCCCACTACTGAATTGAGTTTTCGTACGTAATAAGCGTGGCATGTCGATCAATTGCTCTTTCTTGGTCAGCTTGATAGCACTTCGGTGTGTTGAGTACAAATGGGCTGAGGAGATGTCCTCGGACTGTCGAGATGTAGCCTAGCTCCATGTATATAGCGGCCTGCCAGGAAGATTCATTTCTCCGCTCAACTCCCTCAGGACTAGTCACTAGCTCTCTCCCCGAAGTCAATCGTTTCTGTGGTTTCATCTTACGCTACAGCGCATGGAGACGTGCGAAGCGAAGGTCTAAACAATGAAAGACCGATCTCGATCATCACAGATCTCGATGAGCAGGGCCTCGAACTAGGCCGCAAATTAGCCCATCTGCAACTCCGAACGAAAATCCCAAAGCATAACGACAATTCCATTCAACTGGCCGGTAAATGTTGAGAAACTCAATGCAGTTTGCCTCCCGTCATTATGCGATTGTGCCTTCAAAGTTACTAAGGGGCAGGTTTCCCCGGGGAGGGCGGGAAGGAACGGCCCTACCAGAGCCTCGTCCGCTCCTTTGTTCGGCGCCATGTGATTGTTTACCATCCACCAAACCACTCTCTTGTGCTCAAACAGATTCAAATCTTGCTAACGCCGACCCGCCCTTGCTACCAGCCGATCCGTGTGCGAAGCCGCCCGATTGTTTGCCTACCGACCGAATCTTTCGCTTACAAGCAGGATCCGGTTTTACAGCGACCAACCCGAGAGTCCCTCCCTACCTAGAATCAAGCACGAGAGGTCCATGCGCCCAAAATGGACAAGCTATGGGATCAGAGATCGGTACATTTTCAGCTCTACCTCCCCAGCCCTGTCGGCATTGTTGTGGAGATGAGTATTGACTTGTCCGTCCTTTGATGAAAGGTTGTTGCAGGCCCTGAGGTTCACGAGTTCACACGAGGAGAAACTCAAACACCAATCCAGATCGCCTCAGGAGTGATTGACCTACCCATGACGCCGATGGTCAGAACGCATCTAATCGTCAACTGCGTCCTCGTTTTCTTCACTCTCTCGGCAGTCTTTCTTCGCCTCTACTCGCGGTTCAAGACGTTGGCATTTCTATGGGTGGACGACTATCTCATCATCCTGGCCATGCCTCTGGGCATCACCATGCTTGCAATACAAGGACTATGTGACGTTTCAGCCCTCTCAATCATTCCTCTTATTCCCGCACTCTATGCTAACCTGGTTTTTGTTTTCCAGATGCCCCATTGGGAGTTGGTCACCCCGTCGAAAAAGCGCTCCCGAACCTCCCCACGATCCTACGGCTCACGATATCGTACGCCCTCATCTATACCTTTTGCATCAGCCTGATCAAAATGAGCGTTCTCTTCTTCTACATTCGAGTTTTCGTCAACCCTTGTCTGCGACTTGCCACGAAGATTGTTCTCGGAATTCTCACGATCTAGAGCATCGCCAATGTCCTAGTGCTGTTCTTCCTCTGCCGCCCGTTCAAAAAGAACTACATCCTCGACGCCCCTGGAGAATGTGGAGATCAACCTACTGCTTTTATTAGCACTGGCGTGTACAATATCATCACCGATATCGCAATTCTTCTGCTTCCCATTCCGACCATTTGGGCGCTCAAGACGAAGAGGAACGTCAAGATCGGGTTGACGGGCGTTTTCGCCGGTGGTTTAGTGTATGCTTCGATTTTTTTAGCCTCGCATACGAATGTCCCTGCTAATTGATGAGATGAAGAGTCTCCAGTGTCGCTGTTGTGCGGATTATTGCTCTCAAGCATCTCGACCTCGTCAGACTGACGGAAACCATGGTCTGGGTGGACTTCCTCTCCACGGCCGAGGTCAACCTGGGTATACTCTGCGTGTGTCTCCCGATGCTGGGGCCTGTCTTTCTCAAGCGAAAGGACGGGATCAAGCCCGGCTTCTGTCCCAAAGATCTCCGCTGCACTGCAGGAACGGGGTCGAAATCGAAACGATCCAGCGGGAGGAAGAGGACGCCTGATTCGATTGCTCTCGAATCCATATTTGCACTCGATACCGAAAGAAGTCTTGGGACGAAACTTTGCATGACCAAGTACCACCACTCGAGCAGCACCGGAAGCTCAGCCCCCCTCAACCCAAAATCGAAGCTGGGAGCGACAAACATCTTGGATAACCCATTCATCGTATAAGAGTGATCAAAGATGAATTGATACGTCGCCATGTGTGGTTGCGGTGGTCTTCCAGCGGGGACGTTGGGCAAAAATAAAAAGGAAATGGGAGTTGGGGTCTCTGTACAAAACATCATCAGTTAGCTCATTGTATTGAGTTGTCTTCTATTGTTTTTTTATCTTTATACTTAAATTCTCGCCAGCATCATCAGTTAGTAAACCGGCGATCGACGGCGATTCGAAACAAACATCACATATTGTAGAGGGGAGTATGACATAGCCATCCTTTATGCTAAGAAATAAGAAATACAGAGTTTTTATTACCTCATGCTAACTCTACTTGGTCTCACTCTTTTTGGTCTCAATCTTTTTAATCTCACTCTTTTTGGTCTCACTCTTTTTGTCTCAATCTTTGGCAGAACATAATCTGATAAAACACCCCAGGTCTAATGATAGCGGCGCTGAAACAGCTAGATAGACAGTCATCACTTAGGTTAAATGGTGAATCATTAAAGCATGCTCAAGAAGTCGCTGAGGGCGACGAAGTCTGGCAGTTCGGCTCTCAGGCGTGAGACTGCAAGTTTTTCTCCGCATGCAGTGAACGATACTCGGTCGACTAGAGACGCGGCCTGGCCTTCGGGTCCGCCGTCCAAATCCAGGACCATTGGGTCCTTGTCTATGTCTATTGTCAGAAACATGGCTACTTTGAGTTCTTGCACATAAAGCACTCACCCTTCAAAAACCGCCAGAGATAGGTTTTCGCCTCGTCTCGGAAAAGGAGCAAAGTCTCCGTGGGGTGAAACTGGCAGTCTTGGAACCCACTACTGAATGAAGTCGAAGTGAAGTAGTTGACCAGCCCAACTCTCTTCCGACAATCACGCCGGTTGGCGATACCGATGACAACGGCACAAGTACCGTTGTTGACCCAGGACAGTGGCTGCATTTGGAGATCATGAAAGAGTAGATACTTTCCGTCTGGGCTCCAGGTAAACTGGTAGCGGTAAATGTCAGATCGAACAGCCGTGTGTTCCCTGGTGGCATCACTGTTCACCTTGCTCCAGGTGTCCCATCGGTGAGTGATTGGTCCGTCCAAGGAAATGACTTGCTGGAATAGCTTGCCATTTCTCACGCAGATAAGATTGTGAAGCACGGTGAACATGTCCAATTCTGGGCTGATGGAGAGGGGAAATGAACAAGACCACTCCTGGTCATCTGCGCACAGTCCTTGCCGGAGGCACAATGCTACGTCCAAGGTGGATAAGTTGATTTCAATGGATGTAGTAAGAAGGGGCTGCGAGGACTCGATAGAGAAGACACGATAGGTGGCGGACCACCCAGAGCTGGCATCCTTCAGCTCCGTTGCTGTCTGGGGAGGTCTGGGAATGTTCGCAGCCTTATTTGTGGTCGGGATTAAGCCCTCGAGCGCGGCCCGTATCATAGCCATGTCTCGTGCAAGATCCCTTGGGGGGCGGTCGTAGGATGGAATATTAGCATGTTTCTTCCATCCATCACGAAAGCGTCTGCAGTCACAAGGGTCAGTCTCGTCCTTAGGCAGAAGAATTAGGAGGGACCTACCGATTTGGGAAGACTTGAAGGAAGGCAACCCTCTTCGAATCCGGGGAGACTCTGGAGTGGCTGAATACCGGAGTGTGCTTCTGGTATTTAACTTCGTCGGGAATCTGTTCCTCGGGAACCTGATCACCCATGGCGCCTGTCATCTCGAAGAGCGGATGGAGTGGATAGAGGTGCACTATCAGAGTTGTGCTGGCTCCCGAGATGAAAAGTGGCTGCCAGGACTTGAGGTGAGGAGGAAAGTCGAAGTTTGCTAACGCGGATGCAGGTGTGCCTAAATAGCAGTGCCTGGGTGTACGAAATGCACTTCAGGTGGCAGGCACGACCCAGCAGCAGGTAGGGAAGGTAGGCGAATTACTTCATACGGATCTGCCTGGAGCCTGCATGGATGAAAATGTTTCTCTTAGATTAAGTCAATACGAGAACGTAGGCTCCCGTCTTTCCAATGCAGTCATGAATTTCAGAGGGTGTTCTGCGATGGGCCGTTGCAGGCGGGAAGCGGCATCGAAACATTCGCACCGGATGACCACAGCGACGTGCTGCCGAAAGTGCCAAGCGACTGGCACAAAACATGCACACCCAAATCCTCCAGCGTTGAATTTCAATCAAATAATATCGTTTAATGAATAAATATTGCAGTAAGCTATTCTGTAATTCCCTTAGTACTATGTTTAGTATTATTGATAAGAAAATGAGATGTCTGGCTTGCGTTAACAGCGCCTTGGTTTGCCGTGTTTTTATGTCAATCACTTATGTGTACGGCAAGCAACTTGTGCGGGTGCCCCACTACCAACGGTATTGTGCAGGTATAGTTTCGAGTCCTTCACTGCTATTTCCACCATGCGAGTCTCCGAGTTAGGCGGATGCGCACACAACCCGTTTTGAAACAACTCCATTCCGAGTAGAAAATTGACTCTTGTAATGCGGCGTTTCCATCGTCAGGGCGGCTGTAACGGGTGTTCGTCTGGCGTATCAATGTGCGTGCTTGTCACCCAACAACTTCATTGCACTTTCCACCCTGCAGGAGGTCATGCCCACCAAAAATACATGACGTACCTGGCCCGATTTGTCGCTGTGCTACAGCTAGAATCAAACATCAAATTACGCAAGGTATGAATAATAAATAATTAATACAGCAGTAGCATCAAGGCCCGAGGGAAGTCTTCTGAACGACTTAGTGCAATTGTTTTGCTCTCCAGGGTAGCGCACTCTGGCGTGATTTGCTTCTTCGACTGCCGAATCGGGATAATCGCGAGCAGCGAATTTTCCTATTGGCTGAGAGCGGGGCTCCTCGCGATGCCTCATTCTGCCAGCTGCCAATCACTCTTGGCACTGACCGCCCTGAACGTGGTTTAAAACTGCGCCGAACGTCCCCGATCTTTGAATCTTCCCTCTTTCTTCTTCACCCTCGAGGGTTTTCAGCTTGTAGTATCTGTCTTTCTCAGAGTGTAGTATCAACGTGTAGTATCTGTTCTTTTTCTCAATCTTTGGCCCCGGGGGGATTTCTATGCAAGTGCACATGATTTCTCCCACTGTGTCCCTGGTATTACACTGCCTCCAGGAGATGCGAACACTGGTCCTTTTTCATTGCTTTCAACGGCTTGCCGTTGAGGTGAGGAAGAAGTTTGTTTCCCTCTCGTATTTTTGCCGTCGATCACCGCGTCACGCTGTTGAAACGTCGGTGCCGAGTACCAGCTGTAATCTACGTGACCTTGTTTGTACGATGGCACTCGGCCTTGGGTTTAAGCTGATTTTTCGTAGTAAATGCATTAATTTTCTACCTCGTAAGTATTATGCACTGATTTTTTAAAGCGGTGCCAAACGATGTGCTTTCTTTTCGGGTCGCGTTCTGAAGCAAATACAAACACGTCCTGCTATGCCCTGGCCTGTGATCTACGCTTGCTGCAGACTTCCTATGAAACAGGGGGTTTCGTCAGACTTTTTCGCATATTGTTCTATTCAAAAATTATGAATTATTACAAGGTTCATTCTTCCCGCGTCTCGAATCGGAATTAAGGAGGGCGGGTGCGGCTGATCGCTCGGTGTGTGGAGCGTGCATCCCCTCTATGGCAAGATTAAGTTTGGGGCGTGATATACGATCGACTGGGCTAACAAGAAGGGGATTTTTCCTTTTGCCATGTAACTTTACCGTCAAACTTTCCTAGCATCGAAGCCCAGCCAATTTACCTCTGGGTAGCGCTCCCGGTGATTTTCCTCCGCTCAAGAGCTTCACGCATGCACCGGAGGGCCACTCCAGCGACGCCAAGTAGGCTCTCCCGTCGACCCAAGCATGGATGGTGTGGGGATCAATGAGGCCGGCGACATGCCCTTCACGGGTACCCCCTGGGCGGTGCTGCTGCTTGCCGAGCGCGCCAATGCTGACTGGGCGGACCTTGTGAAGCTACGCGCATATGATCCGATTAACACCGCTGGTCTGTTTGATCCCGTCGGCAGCAGCTGGCTGTGGTCTGCCGCCTGAAGGGTGCAGGGGTCGGTGTGTCTTCGTTCAACTCTGGGCTACGAGCGCTAGCGGACGGCTGGGTGCTGTAGTGGCCCGCGGGCTGAAACTATCGCAAATTGGGAGCTGGAGCATCGGCGACGTGCAGAACGAGTTTCAAGACCTGGCTGCAACGGTTAGCAAATTAGATAGCATATAGACTGTACCTATGGCAGATGCGGAGAGTGGGTGGGATGGGGACGAAGAGGGCAAGACGCTTTTTTTGTCCCTTGATCTGGGCCAGATCTGTATTCCCCGGAATAATTAGCTGCTGTGGTCAACACCCGAAGTGCGAGATTTGCCCTGAAAATACAGCCCACACCGGACGTCGGTGTTGTCGGCCATCCGGCTGCCTGCTTCCAGATGAATACTGTGCGCCGCCGCAAGTAATTTCGGCCTCAAATGCCTTCCCGGTCTCGAATCCTGTTTCAATTGTGGAATAGCGGGAGTGACTCATTGTGAGCCGACGAGAGAATTATTAATTCAGTGCGGTACGATGCGGGTGATGGTGGTGCGATGGAAATTGCGCTGCTTGACTAATCGCTGGAATTTGTCAGTTGGCCTGCTACGTCATTGGTAAGCGCGCAATCAGTGGCAGCCCGAACAGCGAGCACAGGGTAGACAGATGCTGCGGAATCACGGAGAAGGCCTGGCCGGGCTTACATGGTGACAAATTGATGAAGCCATTCAGAGAGAATATAATGTGCCTGGTATCGCCTGGATGGTGGGCATATAGCAAATATCGATATTTAGAAATAATAGATTTCAATTGCAGTATTAGAGCCTTTGCGCTTCTGACGACGGGTGCTACAACACAAATAACCCAGCCAACTATCTACTTCAGTTCTCTAGCTTGGACGAAATGGAGGTCATGGGTATGCTTCTATAAACTGACCCCTGTCGTCCGGATACCGGAAAAGCTCACATGTTATACAGTGGAACAAATAGTAGTGCCCAGATGGGACTCACATAGACCTTCACGACGAAGCTCAAAACCAACGTCTAAATCTTCAGGTTCTGCTCCCAACCCTGTAAAGGCAAGGGGTTTGTCGAAGCAAACAGAGAAATTATTTGCTCTGTACCTCGAATCGAAAGAACTCTTCTACCGGTCGACGCTGGCCACAAGATTCGAGGCCATGCTTCATGCTAAGAGCCGGCCGAGGATAAACAAGATCATATCTCTGGGTCTGGGAAGTCTCGGCGCATCGAAGGATCAATCACGCCGGATGAAACAGCTTGCGATCTTTATGGCCATTGCCTCACATCTCCAAGCGACTTCCGAGAGACAGTTCCAGATTCCTTTATACGCCCAAGATCCTAGCTTCACCAAGACGGACGAGGAGTTTCTCGGTTTCCTTGGAGTTCAGGTACTCAGAACCCCGGAAGCTTCTGATCTTGGGGAGGCGGGGCAAATGATCGACGAGGAAACTCTTATTTATAGTCCATTTTTGACTATCGAAGCGTACGGAAGGTTATTTGCTGCTGCACAGAAGAAGTCAGAGAAAGTCCAGTCCTTGGAAAGAATAGCGCCAGTACTTATCGGGGACGACTTCAACGCACTTAAACTGAAATGGGAGAAACGGACGGCGGAGCATAGAAATGTCGAATCGTTGATGAGGGGCTTGAAAGAAAGGAGCTACCAGCGGAGAGCGATCAGTGGTGAAGGGTTCTGGACGGAATCAGATAATCCGTTCCCTATGGCACTCTACTGGAGACAGCTGGGGAGGAAATTAGAAGGTGCCGAGGCCACTGCACCGCTGAAAGGAAAGCTATAGACGTTAAATTTAGCACTTAATACAGAGCCTGGCGCTCGTGATATCCTGAAACCGCCCGAACCAGAGCCATACTTAGCCATTCCTTCATCACATTCTCCGATGACATCCGAACACGCTCGCACGCCAACTATCTTCCTCGTTGACGCCAGTGCTAACTAGTTCTACTCTATACACACCCACGAACTTTACCCCAGACAGCCGATGCCAACATCAAAACCTTCCTGGCTCTTTAATCCGACCTCAGACTTGGAACCGGATGCACCCAGCTTATCGTGCCGGCCGGTAGATCCTTTGCTGGGATAAAGTCGAACACCGATGCCTTGCGGATCGCCGGAGAGACAACATACCTTCGCATCAACCATCCAACAAAGCCGCGAGCAAAGATGAATCGGCTTAGCAGGTAGTGAAACCAGCTGGCCCAGGTCTGCACCCTCGTCACCATGGCCGACTGATTGCAGTCCTGGATAGCTGGCTCCCGCCTGGCTTCCTGGTATGTTTCGAAGATCTGCTCTAGCGCTTCTGTGCTGATATTTTCCGTAGGCTGCCCTCGAACCGCCTTATGCAACTCATTCGACAGGACCACGATGTCTTGAATACCATTGTTCAAACCCAGTCCAGCATTGGGAGTGTACTTGTGGCACGAATCTCCGACGAGAACAATCCGTTTCCAATACCAATGCTTCAAAACGCCCTCTCCTAAATCCGACATGCCCCACGTTTGGCGCTTCGCGAATACGTCCTTGACCTTGAGGGTTTCGTTGACAGGGAACTCGGCGATATTAGCGGCGAATGCTTCAACATCCTTCTCCGTATACGTGTGGCGCTCTGTTGTCGGCTTAGGGAATTTGTCGTACGTCAATAT